TAAATAAAGATATTAAAATGAAATTTGGCACTAAGGATCGCACTAGAGAGGGACATATTTGGACGAAATTTTTTTGGAAAAGTGGGCGTGGCCCCGGCCCCTACTAACTTTTTTGTACATATCTCGAAAACTACTATAGCTATATCGACCAAACTGTATAGAGTCGTTCTTTTAGGCATTTCCATATACAGTTAAAAAATGGAAGAAGTCGGACAATATCCACGCCCACCTCCCATACAAAGGTTATGTTGAAAATCACTAAAAGTGCGTTAACCGACTAACATAAAACGTCAGTAGCACTAAATTTAACGGAAGAAATGTCAGAAGGAAGCTGCATCCAGGCTTTTTTTAAAAATTGAAAATGGTTGTGGCGTCGCCCACTTATGGACCAAAAACCATATCTCAAGAAGTACTCAACCGATTTCAATGAAATTCAGTACATAATATTTTCTTAACACCTTGAGGACATGCACCAAATATGGGTGAAATCGGTTCACAACCACGCCTGAAATCTCGATTATCACTTTATCATGCGAGAGTATAAAATGTTCGGTGACACTGAGCCCTTCCTTACTTGTTTATATGCAGCTTTTACATATCTTGAGAGCTGGATCCTAAGCTTTAGGGTTATTAAAGAAATTATACATTGTAAGTAGGATAAGGTAATATAGTGCGCTAAGCGAAAATGGTGACACTAAGAAAGACATTTTTTCAGGGATGTGCAATCACTTACTTTATTGACATGCATGACAATTAAAATTTATAAATTTACTGGATTGGGTGAAGGCAATCTAAATCCTCATCCCTCAGAGAGGGCACATAAAAATATTTCTTATCAAACAGACCACTTTCAGGGCAAGGTCGTCCACAACTAAATCGAAGTTTTTCAGGACGATGGCGTCCTCAGGACAACAGTATCGTCTACAATCTGGACAACGTAAAATGAGTTTCTATGGACAAGTCATCCAAATTATTCAAGAAAATTTCAAGCAAATCCAACCTATTTTAA